CGGCGGCGCGGCGGGCGGCGCGCCGGCTCCCGGCGCGCTCTTCCAGAGCCAGGCGGACGTGCCCGCGCCGCCCCACAAGCCGCGGCAAACCTCGCTGGCCGACCTCGAGCAGAAGATCGCCACCAACTACGAGACCGTCGGCGGCCCCGCGGGGGCCGCCGCTTCGACGGCGCCCACCGCCGCCTTCGGCACGGCGACGGTGACCAGCGGCTACGAGCAGTACAAGGCCGCCGAGGCGCGGCCGGCCGGCGGCACGCCGAGCGCCGCGGGCGGCTACTCCTCGTCGGAGAGCCTCTACACCAACCTGGAGCAGAACATCCCGCGCAACTACGTGATGATCGACGACATCAGCGAGTTGACCAAAGAGAGCCCGGCGGGCGACGGCCACAAAGGGCAGCCGCAGAGCGCCAACGGCCGCCACGGCAAGGAGAAGGGCGAGCTGGCGGAGCCTGAGGGCTCCAGCAGAGCCTGCTGCTACGCCAAAGCGGAGGAGGAGTCCGAGGAGGACGTGTATGACCACCACGGCGCCGAGCACCGAGGGAGGAACAGCTACCACAGGGAGAGCAACGGCAGGACGCCGGGCGGCTCCGGCAGCTCGGCCTACTACTACGGGGACAGCGACTATCGGCATTCCTCACGGGCGGACAAGCACGGCCCCGGCGTGGCGGTGCCCAAGCATTCTTCCAAAAACCTGGCGCCCGCCGTGGTCTCCTCGAAGCGCAGCAAGCACAGGAAGCAGGGCATGGAGCAGAAGATCTCCAAGTTCTCCCCCATTGAAGAAGCCAAAGACGTGGAGTCGGACCTGGCCTCCTACGCCGTGAGCACCTCAGTGAGCAGCAGCAACGTGGCCTCCCGGGCGAAGAAGCTGCAGGATGAGATCACCTACGGCCTCAAGAAGAACGTGTACGAGCAGCAGAAGTACTACGGCATGGCCGGCAGGGACTTGGTGGACGAGGACGAGCGCGTCTACGCCGCCGCGAGCCGGACCCGCTCCTCCGGCTACGGGGCAGACAAGGCGTCCAGCCGGGACGGGGGCGGCCGCAGCAAGTCCTACGAGCGGGAGAGCGTGGAGCGGGCCCAGAAGGGCAGCTCCAAGCCCTCGTCCCTCGGCATGAGCCAGAGCCGCGGCAGGACTCCCGTTCGCGCGCAGGCCTCCGAAGAGGAGAGCCCCATGAGCCCCCTGGGCAAGTCCATGGGGGTGTCGCGCTCGTCGGGCGGCCCCGGCCCGCAGCCCGCCGGGGAGCCCTGCTCCCAGTTCTGCTCCAGCCACTCGTTGCCTGATGTGCAAGAGCACATCAAAGACGTGCCAAGGCATCACCCCTACAAGCACGAAGAAGGCTACGTCGTGGATGATTCGCACTGCGTTGTCTCGGACAGCGAAGGTAACAGCTACCTGTGGTGATGCCCCCTGCACCCCCCCCCAGAGCATGGCGATCCCCCGGGGCATGCTCGCACGCTCCCAAAGCGAAGACACTCTCGCAGCCTCCGTTTGCTTGACACGTGCCTTCCTCCCCTCTGCCGGCCTCGGGCCCGGCTGTTCGGTGGGAGCAGGTCGCGCGCCGTGCTTGCCCGCCGCCCCGCGTGCCGTCCCGCGCGCGCCGCGGTGCCCTCTGTGTGTCTCGTAAGCTGCTTGCCTTCTTCTATTCCATTGCATGGCTTCAGCCCGGGCTGTGTCGCACGCCTGCGGAGCGAGAGATTGACTGTGCTTTGTTTTTGGTTTCTGAAGCCTATCATTTGGGCCAGGAGGAGACAGACTGGTTTGATAAGCCGAGGGAAGCGCGGGCAGAGAGGGTAAGGCACTACGGTGGCCACTCTTCCTCGCAGAAGAGACCCCCGCCTAAGCACAGCTACCACGACTACGACGAGCCGCCGGACGACGAGCCGTGGCCGCGCGACGAGTACACGCCGGCGCCGCGCGAGCACCGGCACCACGGCGACTACGGGCGCCCGGCGGCGCGCCACGGCGCCGAGGAGCCG